ACAATTGAGGCCACAAAAACAGTCAAAGATGCAGAGAAAATCATCAAATATGTGAAAAATTATCACATCGTGAAAGCAAAGTTTGATGAAAGACGAATTGCAGCAAATATTTCTCTTTCATTGTCCATGCCTGTATCTGCACGATGGTTTAGTTATTATAAATCAATGAGCAGTCTCCAGCCATAAAAATACGTTCTTATTAAGTTGGTAGACAAAGAAAGTCCATTACTGAAGGAAATTCAAATAAAGAATACATCTGCTGCTGTTATGGCGTTGATAAAATCTAACCCATTTGGGACCGTCTCTCTAAGCTTGTCAAAAGCATTGAATTTCCTTCCAACGTGATCGGAAAGCTAGAAAGTGATACAGCTCCATTGTCTCTTGTGTATGATTACTTTGGTCAAATGTGCCATTCATATATGGACGATAAAGACATACAACAGAAGTGCAATCTCGCCTCGATTTTCTCTTTACACCGTGTATTGGAATTGCTTTCATATTAACGCCCAAAAATGCCGCAGAAGGTTTATATTTGAATGATAAAACCGATTTTATCACTGCTTCAGTTGAATTCGCCAAAAAGATCAAACCTGAAATTGCTGCCACTGCTGAGGATGAATTGATTGCTTATATAGGAGAAACTTCTGTGCTGCCTGAGTGAAGAAAGGAAACATATTCAAGATGAACTCGCGAATATTATCATTATCGGTCGCAATAAATATCCTGCTCTTTATGAAATTGCTAAGCCTATTAACGAAATGATCTGCTCATCGGCTACAGCAGAAAGAGCTTGGTCGACCTTTCGATTTATTCACTCGCGACTAAGAAATCGTCTTACGAATGAGAGAGTTGAAAAGCTAGTATTCTTGTATACCAATAGCGTGCTGATGAACACAAATGACAAGACTGATTACATTCTTGCAGAAGGTGCAATTCTCAATGAAATTGAATGTTAAGAAATCACCGAATAGGCGCCAGCATTATATATTTTTATTACTGTAAGAATCTTTGAAAACTCCTATTGTTACTAATCACTGAATTTATAATAAAGTTAAAAGATTACGTAAAATACTTTTTAAGTTTTTTTGTTGATTTCAATAAATCTTCAGTAATAATAATATCTGCGCAGATCTGCGCCGAGAGACGAACCTTAGTATATTTTAGCAGTAATAATAAATTTTGTCGGCGCCGACGTCAGTGCAGACAAATTACAATGTTTGTTGCAGATCTGCGCATGTCTGCGCAGATCTGCGCCGACAGTGCGAACCCTACATTAAATGAAAGCTCGTCAGACGCCGTTAGACGAGCAAGTGTAGCGTGAAGTGTTTTATCTTCCTTTTCAAAAATCGAAAAGTATTCTGTTAGTGGTTTAGATTTCTTTTTTGGTGGTTTATCTGATGTGCTTTCTCCGGTAATATTAGGTTGGGTTGGACTTTCGACATTCACATTATGCACCGACAACATGTGTATATGAAGTCCTTTTGTTGAACCACGACAGGTTTATAAAATCTTCTTGCAGTTTGGCAATTTACACATCGCTGTTTGCCTTTTCTCTTTTCGTAGAAAATATTTTCAAACAGCAAACATTGAAATATTTTCAAACATCAAACATTGATTTTTGAAAAGGAAGATAAAACAGTTTATCTCAAAACAATAATGGCGTCAAGAAAAGCAAATTAAAAAGCTATTTTTACTAGCTTTTTACTAGTTAGTAAAAAAAGAAGGAAATTTAGTTCTAAAAATAAAAATAAAAGAATAGAGTACCATACTGTGCAGCGTTTGTCAGCGCATGTTAAAGGTAAGGCTCAGAAATACAAAAGAATGGGGGCACTTACCATGGTTAAGATTGATGATCAATACGATGAAAATCAAGAATTGACGATTGATATAATATAGCAAGCATGCATTTCATACTTTAATTCACATGGAATGAGGTGCGATATTTTAGTAGGTGAGAGAGGGCCATTGTATGATAATATAAACGAAATAAAAAATATGAACAGTGTGATCCATGTAAGATTTGTCGATTCAGTAGAATCATGTAATCAAAAATTAAGTTCAGTATCAGTTCATAGTAATAAAGCTAACGAAAGATTTTATTTTACATTGCTTTCCAAGATTACCTTAACATTTATGTCTTCTTTCCAAGTGTTGTTTCGAATTTGTATCGCCATTTTAGCAGCTATTATATTTCATATGGAATTTGTAAATAATAAAAGTAAAGCCGTATGGCAATGGCAACGATGGACCACAAAGAATTTTCTCGGAATTTTTTTTTTTATGGCAGCAATGGGCCACCATACAGCTGAGTTATTTTTAATTGTAAACTCTACATACGCCATGCGTATGTAGACTTTACAATTAAATTTTAACACATATTTAAGTTTTAATTTTAGAAATAAACCTTGTAAGAAACGTGCGTTTTTCTTTCAGTTTAAAAAAGTTTATTTTACAGAGTTACAGAACAGAATAACTGAAAATAGAATCACTTTCTGCGATCTTATACTAAATAAAAATCATTATATTGATGCGTATAAATTGTTGTTATTTTTATATATTTTTTTATTTCCCCTTTGTTTTGCTCGATCGTATAGGGAATCCCGGGATTGTCTAATATCAATCCCGGGAATCCGGAATTGCAAACCCTTATAATTTTCTCTACACTATCTAATAAGTCATTATGGAAACTCGGGAGTGTAATACTCGGGAGTGTACAAGATATTAAGGACAATGTATTGCCTACCTACGAAGATGTCATGAAATATTAATGTAATAGATTTCGACTTAAAATTATCAGAAGTACTGTAAAAAAACCATCATTTTTAGAAATTGCCGAGCTTGTGTATTAAAAAGAGGAAGATGTTGGGAGAAAACCGTCCCTTACTAAGGTTTGACACACAAGAGTAATTCAGCTATTAAAGGATTATCATTTAAAGTCCAAAAACCTCATCAAATCTTTAAAAAGAATATCTGTTGATCAAAAAAATTGATTTTATACAGTATAGCAGTATAGAGTTCTATTCGACATTTGTTCAAGTAAATGTAAACAAAATCAACTTTGTTGTTGTCTAAGAGTAAAAAAGAAGAGCAGAAGTTTTTTCTTCACCAAAAATAAGACAGAAAGATGCAAGTTGGTGGAATAGATCGTATTATTTCAACTGAATTACAAAAAAGGGTAACAAGTGCCTCTAAGACAAACAAATCTAGTTTACGTATTCACAAAAATCAAGAGAAGTGTAATATGTGAACAGCAGGAGTCGGTATCGTCTTCAAGTGAGTCTGAAGGCAATGTTTCTTTGCCTGATAGGCTAAAGTTACCTTCCACTTCACAAATAAAGAAAATAAAAAAATATACAGTTAAAAGTTTGCATATGTTTATAAAAACCTGCGACCTTTACAGTATTTTCGATAGAGCAGCCGCTGCGATTGTTTCTTCAGTATTGCTCTATATATCTTTAAATATTGAAGTGGTCGATAAATAAAAAATACAGCGGGAAAGGAATAAAGAACGTAATGAATTATACAAACAACAAACGCAGCTTCATTTACCTGCTTTATACTTTGATGGACGAAAAGACAAGACGTTAAATATTGTGAAGAAAGGAGTAAAAAGGTACAGACAAACAGTGATTGAGGAACATATATCTGTTGTTAAAGAACCAGATTTAATTTATATTGGTTACGCTACGCCAGTTCGAGGTACTGCCAAAATTATTGAAACATCGAATAATGGCCTTTCTATGGTCAAAACATAATAGTTAGATTTTATTTTATAGTATATTAATGTATACTATTACAGGGCCGACGATACGGGTTTTGAAGTGGTGGTTGGGGAGGGGGGGCACAATCATCAATTTGTAAAAAAAGTCCCCATACCTGAATTTTTTCTTAAAAAATTTTAGAAAGGTCCTTTAGAAAAAAAGTATAAGGGAGGGGAACTTCCCCCTGGCCCCCCGGTGTCGTCGGCCCTGTAAAGCCAAATTTTAGTACTATGTTTATTGTTTATGCATTCTATATTTTGGCTATAGATATGACTTTATTTAACTTTTTATAGACAATTTTTATTTGTTTAGACCAAATACAACATAATATAACTACTAGAATATGATCAAATAGCTTTTATTTTTTTCTTATATATAACGGCCCACCCTAATAATTATATATTATTTAGTGTAACGTTACACTAAACGTTACACTAAACTAATTATATATTATTTAGTGTAAAGGTTACACGTGCACGGTCGTTCAGACTTTTTGAATAAGTGGAAAGTTATTATACGCGTGCGCAGTCAAGCTGATATATTTTCAGAGTTTTAAAAATGGCTACGGTATTGTATATTCTCATTGACAACGAGCTACTTGTCTAAATATTAGTTATTAAATAAGTGTTTAGACATTTATTAAACAAAAATTATAATGAAAGGAATTTTTCGTACATAGTATAATGTTTCAAATAAACTTAAACCCCTTTCTAAATGAATAAAGTGTAATTTTAGCTAAAGGTACTTTAGTGTGTTTTGTTTACTATTTTCAAATGACTTTTAGAAAATTTTTGAGCGTAGAAATTTTTTTTATTTTACTTTTTCAGATAGATGAACTTTTTATCTTTTTTGGAATGTTTACTAATGTTAGTATTCAATTTTTTTTTTTGGAAAAAAAGTTTTTTTTTAAGGTTAACTTTTTGATAGCTGTTGCTAGGCTACTCTAAATAGTCATATTGCATATGTATATAAATATATATATATATATATATATATATACATATATATATATATATATATATATATATATATATATATATATATATATATATATATATATATATGTATATATATATATATATATATATATATATATATATATATATATATATATATATATATATATATATATATATATATATATATATATATATATATATATATATATATATATATACATATATATATATATATATATATATATATATGAATTATTAGCAAATCTAATCGATTTAAAAAATGGAACTTCACAACAAAAACTTAAAACTTCTTTGCAGAGTTTGTGGACAGTTATTAGGAAAAAAACATAACTTTATAGGAGAAGTTCTTAAAATGAAATTGGAGAATCTGTTCCATGTTAAGCTGACAGATGTAGATATTATCCATCCTCCTAATATATGTCAAAAATGTTATTGCACATTAAACAACGTCCTTAAAAGGAAAACATGGACTGCTCTTAGTCTTTGCACTCAATGGAAACCCCATTCTGATAACTGCTTTACTTGCCAATCTGTAGAAAAGCTTAGTAAAGGTTTAATTTTTTCTAATGTGCAATCCAAAAATAAAGCTAAATGCTCTGGTCGTCCAAAAGATAATACAAAAAGGTGGACATTTTCAATGTTTGAAATCATACGAGAAAAAATAGCCACATTACATGACGAGGAGATAAATATAGAAGAATTAAATAATGAGTTAAACCCTCATTTACAACTTTGTTTATGTAGTATATGTAGTAGCATACCAAAGCAGCCTTTAACTTTAAGAAAATGTGAACATCTTCTCTGTTTTTTTTGTATAGTAGAAAATATAAAAACAAAGCCGATTAGTGACACAGTGTGTCCTCTATGCAAAGAACATATAGTTTATGAAGACTTATCAACTAGTAAAAACACTATTTTTCTTATTAAAATGTTGACTGTTGCATGTATTACATTCACACAAAAGTTTAATATAGTTCAAGAATATACTATATACAAGGATCATAAAAGCATATGTCCAAAAAAACTTTTTTGTCACTATCAACATCACCACAACCATCATCAACAACATCACATCTGAAACCATTTTCATCTAAAACCAACATATCAGATGTTTTCATGCTTACAAAAGACAGTGTAATTCCAAGAATAGTGGAAGATGCTGCCCTTCACACTATTAAACAAATGATGGCTAAAAATGATGATAACATAGTTACATTTAGAAGCGGAGGACCTCGAGTAATTTTTTTTCAGTATTTTATTATGAGTTTATATTTTACTAATATCATAGATATATAGAAATACCTTACATACTAATGATTTTGTTCTCTTTTTTAGCCTAATTCTTTTTTACCTGTTTCCAAAGCTTATGTTTGCAGCAACAAGGCATCAATCAAAACAAAAAAATGCAGAAATTCTTTGTTAAAAAATCAGCTGCAAATTATTGCAGGTAAATATGTTGATGCTGTTGGTTGCCAATCTTCACAGCTTCTTAAATCATTTCAACCAGAAACAAGAGAACTGATATTAGCCAATTCTAATATTAATAGAGTTACAATTGGTGCTGCTGAAATGGTAGCGATAAAAGCAGATTTAAGTTTGCCTTGGGAAAAGCTGAAAACAATATCTAAGTAGGTGATTATTTTTTCAGGTTTTATTGCATTCACAGAAACATAACTTTTTTTTTTATAGGTGGTTAAAGACATTTGATATTGGTATAGCCTCTCATGCTTCCCAAAGGGTAATTTTTGATAGATTATCAGGAGATGACATTATTGTTGAAAGTGCTCCATTTGCTTTTCAAAAAGAAAAAAAAGGTACTTTTGAAATCAAGTTAGCATCTTGGGGTTATATAGAGAATTTACCTGCAAATATCCAAGACATCTTGAAAAATTAGATAGGTGATTTTACTAATAATAATACTAACATATGAAAAGAAAACATTGTATATTCTGTTAGAAATGGTGGTTTAAACTAGAAAATATTTCCAATGAACTAGATAATTCTATTTCAGTGTTGACTTTAGTGTCTTAAAAAATTAAAATCTTAACATGAATTTATCAGTAAAAATTATAAATTACATTTTATTTATTAAAGTTTAAATTCATTTAAATTTTAATGCAATCAAAGTTATTCATTCAACTTTATGACTTAAATAGTATTAAAAAAGTGCAAAATAGGGTGGTTTGATTTAATTTTGTTTTTAAAAGGTATTATATATCGATATTCTCAACAGTTATTGGAAACATTTCCTTAAAAAACCACCAGTTTCATAACTGTATTATATTTATATATGTATTAAACCACAATGTATTATATTTATATGATACATTATGGTGTTATGAAATAGTTTTTTTAAAGTAATTTTTATAAATTTTCTTTTAAGTTTAAAAACATAAAATTATATCACATAATATTTTCATTCATTTTTTTAGCTGCAATAGTCTTATTCATCATGAATTTATAGCCCATAAGGAGATCCACATAAAAATTGGCGGAGACTATGGCGGAGGCAGTTTTAAAATGAGTTACTAGATATTAAATACTCATAATCCTAACAACAAAGATAACACAATAGTTTTTAACATTTTTGAAGCAAAAGACTATAGAATTAACATCAAAGTAGCTATGGCAAAGTTTCAAAAGCAAATAGACGATCTTCAAAAAATGAAATACAAGTAAGTTGCATTAAAATAAGATTTATGACATAAGTGTGCTGTTTATATTTAAAAAAATTTGTGCGTTACTTAACAGCATTTAATATTTACACTGAAATTAAAAGTAATAAATGAATTATGGTGATTATAATGGTAATAATTAGATTAAATTGAATAAAAACTTCAGAGGTTATTCAAATTTGCTAAAATTCAATTAACATTTATTTTCCTAAAATAGTTGAGAATGATTATGAATGTTATAATAACTAACTTCATCATAGGGATTATAGCATTAGAGTCTTTGTTTTTGGGGATTATCAGTTTCTTTGTGCACTCTATGGTATTTCAGGAGCTTCAGGTATTTTTTAACTAACAAAACAGGACAAATATTTCATATAATAATTTTGAATAAATTCAAATATTTTTTGTATTTTTCAGGGAAACACTGTTGCCTTTTCTGTCATGCAACATCTAGTGAAATGAAGGATATTGATTTTCAAAGGACAGAAATTAAAGTTCGTACCCTAGAAGATTTATATATTGATTATGAAAGATTTATGGAAAAGGGAGGTGTGAAGGAAGACGCCAAGTATTTTAATAGTGTTATAACAGAGCCTATGTTAAAAATACCTTTAGATCAGGTATAGTTGTTTTTGTTAGTTGTTATCAAACTTTATTAAACTTATATTATTAAGCTTAATATTACTATTAACATAAAATCACTCATCAAAATAAAAAGGTTACATAAGCGTGTGTTTGTGTGTGTGTCTGTGTGTAAGTGTGTGTGTTTTGGTATTACTCCTTTGATCAGAATTTTTTATGAGTGACACCATCTTAATAAATCATTAACTTATGATTATAATTAATTTTATGCTTATAGTTACTAGTATAATATAAATGATAATTTTTTTTCATTGTATTTATTGTTACTATTAGTATTATTAATACTATTGTAAAAATGATTTATGGAAAATAAATAGCTTGTTGTTGTTGTTGTTGTTGTTGTTGTGTTTATATATAATCAATATTGTATTCAATAAAGTATTTTTAAGGTATCTTTGCCAAGTCTTCACATGGCTCTTGGAATTTATTTAAATTTTTTCAATTACTTTGAAAATTAAGTTCATGAATTGGATATTTTAATGGCAGCAGAAGCATTAAAAATGAAAAATAACTATGCTTCTAGTTGCTCAGACGAATATAAAACATTTATAGGAGAACAGAAGGAGTTATTAAGTCTTAAATATGAGATTATCTGCCTTGATGAAAAACTTGAATGGTTAAATGATATGGCTTTGCTTGCTGCAACACAGAGTTCTGATGAGATGGATATTCAATCTCTTTACAACTCTGATATCGATTTTATCAATTGCAAAAAAGAAGAAAAGGTTTTGAAATTTACCCTTTATTTCTATTCTCTAATTTTCATTTATGGATCTTGTTTTCAAAAATATACAGTAAAAAAACCCTCTCACTTGTTTGTTCCAAATTTAAAATAATCTGAACAAGATTTATGCAGATAAGTTATTTATTTTTATTTATTACTTTTTGACAGATATACAATCCGTAAATTGTCATTACACAAGAAATCAAAATATATGCTAAATGTATCAATAATATCAAAAAGTGACAATATCCCAGTATTATCTAATATCTAATAATGCATAAAATTTTTACTTTTTTTTTTTTTAAACAACAAATATTCATTAAATATATATTGTAAATATTTTTATAGGTTAGTCAATTAAACACTTTAATGCAAAAGCACTCATTAAAAAAAGGTCAGGGGCCGTGCACAAGAAAAATAGAGACAGTTCTTCAAAAGTTAAAAGTGCAACGGCAAGCATATCATGGGAAAAGTTTTATTGGAAATCATGTGCATAAAATGCTTAAAGTAGTTGCTACTTTTAATTCAAATGTTTCTTCTTTTACTCAAAATATATATTTTTATACTTTATATATTATTCAATAACATATTTCAAAGTATAGTTTTTAAAGTATAGTTTTTAACTTATACTTTTTCTTATTAATTAATAAAGTAGTATTAGATTACACCTGGAATATTATTTTGATTTTAATAACTATAATATTATACAAAATAACTTATTTGATTATTTAGATTTAAATATTTTATTTAGAAGTCCTCATTACTTGAGTTGTGTAATGCTATTCCAAAGCTTGTTTATGAAGAAGGACTATCTGAAACAGATGTGCATAAAAGATCAATTGAAATTAGTACAAAATATAAAAAGCTGTTCGATAAATTTGCTCAATGCTACTTCATTTTTTCTTCCAAAAATACTATGACAACAGAAAAATTGAATCTTTTAAGTAAGATTTCAGTATAAAAAGTTTTTTTTTATTAAAAAAAACTTCTTATAATTGCATTAAAAAATCTTGTAAATATCCTAGTTAAAATAATAATAATTTTTTAGAAAAGAATATTGAAGACTTAATGCAATATTTTCGTGCAACTTTTCCAGAGATTTCTGTTACACCTAAACTTCACATGTTGGAGCATCACGCTGTTCCATTTTTAAAGAAATGGGGTGCTGGTTTTGGGTATAATAGTGAACAGGGTGGAGAATCTGTTCACATGGAGTTTAATAAATTAAAAACAGTTTACCAATCGATTCCTTGTCCAACGATGCAACTTAAAAGTATTTTAAAATGTCATCATCAAAAGACGAACCCTGAAAACATGCGACTTAGGCCTTGTTTAAATGAAAGGAAAAGGTGTTGAAAATAAAATTAACAATAATACTTTTTTCGTCATTAATGT